GGTATGAAGCCCACATGAACAGCAGCAATGCCACCATACGCTTAGGGACTAAAAAAGATCGGACGCACATGTGTCTGAAAAGGGCTCAAAAGTGGACAAAGACTTCTAAACATTGCTCACAAGTTAAGGCGGTCAGACATGTACAAATTAAGAATAGATATATATATATGTAGCAATGACACCGTGTACACATGTTGAATCAAAATAACGACATGCTACTTACGGGTCAGAACCTGATTTAAGAGAACCAGAACGAACCCCGATTTGATTTCCAAAACCTGAACAAATCTGGCGCGCACATGCAAACCCACGTAAGCCGCCCCTAGGCAAAACGGGAAACTCATGACAAATTCAAACAGAAAAAAGATTTTATTCAAATTTTCGTGTAAATCTGTTGCAGGATTTTTTTGAATTTTGCACTAAAAGTTGAATCAGCTTTTAAAAGGCCTATACCAACGACTATTTAGTTTTTAGCCAAAAAACCGATAAGTAATGTTGAAAATAAGGAGTTTTTTGTTGGCTCCAGTAAGGATAACGTACTATTCTTTTTAGTCTACATATACAACACTTTTTCAAAAGTATATAATTGAGAATAATTGTAGTGCATCAGGTCAATAATGAATCTGCAATAGGCCGGGCAATTGTAAAGCACTACTTACAGCTGACATAATTAACGTTTGAAAGAGTAAGGACGCAAAATTCAATTGGCTGAAAAAACAATGATGAAATACACGTGGTGGTTGTCCTTCCCTCTGCAACCTGCATCATTCGAAACGCACAACTTAGTACTTAGCTGATATTGTTTAACACACCATGATGCAGCACTAAAAAAGTACTCCACTAGCGTTTTTCGAAGATAAGGTTTTGCTTACAAACGTAAGAAAAAATTGTACAATGGCCTACTCAACGACAACCCAAAGGGGATGCCCAAAAGACTGTGCTTGAAAGACAAACGGGCTTGAGAATGCTTGTGCTGTTTAAATGTACCTCTGAAGGAAAACGAGATTAATCTACAAAAACTTCGTAATGTAATCTTCGTCAGGATTACCAGAGGCATCAAAGAGCTCCGCATCCAAACGGCCATAAACTTGTACTGATTTTTGTAAGCTCTCAAAATAACCCAACAACCTATTCCGTTCGTGTAAAACGTATAAGGGCTAGAGTGAAGAAAATAAAGCAGGAACTAGCTACATATTATTATCCAATATTACTTATAGTACATTTTTGTGACCCCAGTAAAATTTTACTGAATATCAAATGTCATTTTCTGCGTTTACACTTGTTGCACGTTTTCTTTATTGGCATATCGACATGCAAATTCATTTTATTTAGAAGTTGACCTCTTACTGTAAAGTACATGTAAAAACACCTTACAATTACTTTTTTAAATATTAGTCTACAAAATTGAGAATATTTCGATATTGTAATGCATTTCTCATGTGAACGTCTTTGCACAACGGTCGACTTTGTAGAGCATTGTACCCAAGATTTGGCGCACGAACAATTCATATATTGGTGGACATGGAATGCGATAGAAGAACTAACAGGGTGAAAGCAACGAATCCACTACTGCTGGTATACATAACGCAAGTAGGAATCTGGTGTGAAAATCTGCATAGAGGCACTGCTGGCAGCTCCGTCACATGATTTTTCGGATTTTTTACGATTGTTAATAGCGTTCTGAAAACAGGGAATCCGAATAGTTGCCCAATATCATTTGCAAACATACTGTTAAGGTCCAACACAGATTATCCAATCCACAGCACATTCCTACGCACAGAGGACATGGGGCTACCGGCATGTTCTGCAGTCCATACTGCCTATCAGAAGTATAAGAGCGAAGACTCAAGTGCCCGCCTAACCTAGGAGTCGATATAAAACACTAGTCGACGCATTACGTTTAAGCACAATCAAAACACACAAATGAATACCTCCGAACACTTGGCACAGGTGCGCTCATCTTCCACGCGTTGCACCAATCCCAACGGTTTCCTCAAGGTCGCTCAATGGCCTCTCAATGCACGACGCATGTGTGGCCTTGCATTCATTCTTGCGCGTCTTATGTTAACCGTAAATATCACTTCTACGTGCTTTAGTTCGCAATTCTTCGGCTACCGATGGAGACAATGATGTATTCAGATGAGAGTAAAAGCTCATCTCTAAGCCACAAATTTTCCGTTTAGCGTGAACAGGGCAAACTAGTCGGCCTACAAATCACCGTGGGTTGATGGACATAGAATTTATGCTTCGACTCCGAGACAGAGGATGGAAAACGAGTAAAGGCACACCGATTGATCGTGGCAGTCACCTTTTCACTTTTGTTGAAAGCATTGGACTCTTAACGAGGCGTAATAGTAGTCCAATGGAGGGAGTTTTCCAAAGGTTACCATTCTTTCAACATCGCGTACACAGGTAGCATCACAAGCTCTGCAGGAAATGCTACGAGACTCTATCTGCTGCCACACAATCTCGTCTCCTCCACGGTCGTCTTTTAGTGTATGTGGATTTTTGCAGAACGAGGTACAGAAAGCTCTTTTGAGAGTTGCAACTGGCCGCCTTAAGAATCCCTCTGGACAAAAAGGCAAAAGTTTGGTACTTGGATAATGTGACGTTTTGGGAACCTGTGTTTGCAACAAGAAAAGAAACGCCAAGAAGGTGTGAATGAGGAAACAAAATTTCGAGCGATTTCCAAATGGGTGGATGCAGGATGCAACGTGCGTGACGTGGATGAAAGGGTAAAGGTATTTGCAAAGTTGATTTCTAGGATTGACTTGACCAGTCTGTCTCCACTGCTTCGAACCGAATATTTTAAATTTGCAAAGAATTGTTTATCTCAGGTAAGCACTGTGAAGAGTTTGAAGGATGTGATTGGAATGGACAAGACTTTCATTATAAGGATAATTGGTTCATGAAGGCAAACAAAGTGGATAAGGGATGAATGACTTTGCGATGAATAGATCTAGATCAGATTGATGGGTTAAATGATGGATAGATGGATGAATAAATGAATTGATAAATGTTGATGGATGAATGCGAGATTAAAGAATAAACGTGGAATGGATGGATGTGGATTGAATGTAGGCACGTGAGTTGATGTATTTGGGAATCACAGCTACTACTTGATTAGACCCATGGCACTCTATTTAACGTGCTTTTGTTTGATAGCTTCTGCTTTACTTCTCTTAAGATACTTAGGAGCTACTTTGCCATGTCATCTAATGAAGTCAGACAGGAACGCGATCAAGCAGAAGCCTGGCCGTTCCACCAATTTTCAATCACCTCGGTGATTCGTAAATCAATTAGTTTGCTTTGTTCACTCAAGGCTCAAAATTTTTGGCTCAGAGATGAGCCTTCACTCTCATCTGAATACCTTACTGCTTTCATCATTTGCTGAAGAAAGGTGATTTAGAGCATGAAGAAGTGATATTTACGCTTAATATAAAACACACGAGAATGAATGCAGAACCATGCACCTGTCGTGCGCTGACAGGCCATTGAGCGACCTTGAAGAAACCGTTGTCATTAATGCAACGCGTGGAAGATGAGTTCACCTGCGCAATTTTTTTGGAGGTGTTTATTTGTGTGCTTTGCTTGTGCTTAAATGTAATGCGTTGACTAGTGTTTTATATCGACTCTTAGGTTAGGCGAACACTTGAGTCTTCGCTCTTATACTT